TGTCTGGAGCTGGAAGCTGGGCTGGGCTTGAGGCCTGGGAGTGGTGTAGGGAGGGCAGTCTCCTCTTCCTTCTAACCTCTCATCCTCTAGAAAGTTTCTGGATTAAATGCTCCTAGATGACAGGGCTCATGTGCCACTTCAACTATTTGCCTCAGAGTGCCTAACTTGTAAATGGTCAATATACCTTTGACAAATTGTTGAATTTACAGTGAAATTTATACATTTTTGCAGAAGTTTTGAGTGGATTGCGACCTATTTGAAAACCCCTTTCCCTCATAGGGGCAAGGCTACCTCCCTGAAGTGGCAGCTGAGAGAATGAAATGAAATAAAAATAATTTGCGTAGGCCAGTTCCTGGCACTTGGATATTCAATATGATTTTGTTTTCTGACCTCTGTATTTTCATAAAAGTTTTCTAGTGTCTGTTAGGTCTTTATCACAGGGATTGGGGTGGCAAAATGGGTGGGGGTCAGTGGATGTTTCAACTCTAATTGCATGGGGATTTGGAGGATAATATTTTTACTTGTCTTTTTTGTTACTTTTGGTTTAAAACGGGTTTAACAAATATTCCCACACCTAAGTGGGTACTGGCAGAAAGGGACCCTTTGGGGATCTGTTCAGGTATATCCAGAAGTTCTCACCTTGCCCACAGTTGTGATATCACCAGGCTGACTTCTGAGCAGAAATCAAGCATTTCCATGCTTGCTCCAATGAAGACAAATGTAATGGGTCATTTAGAACAACCCGAAAGGCAGCATAGGCTGATAGAGATTTTGCTGGATGTGTGCTTGTAAAATGCTAAGAAATTTGGTTTTCTCATCTGTAAAATGAGGCTAATAATGAGGACTGAATGACTGTACCTAAGATGATTGGTGATATTAAAATATTATATTGCAATATATATATCATCTGTTAATATATAAAATATATGGTAATAATATGTTAAGTATTAACTATCAGTAGTTTGCTGTCTTTTCAGAAAGGCAGGGCCATAGTCCTGGAGCAGGTCCTGGAAGCTGTTGATGGGCACAGTGTTAACTCCTTGGTTGCCAGATTGTGGGGAGGTCCCAGATCACCTGTGGGTGAAGTCAGAGAAAACCAATCACACTAGATGCTGTTGAAGGGCTTGGGCGTGACTCCATTTTTCAGTTGGCTCAGAAACACTTGGTGTTGGCAGACTGTAGAGACAGACCCGTGCATAAAACAAAAAAACCCCAGTGGTCTTCAAGTTGATTGTGATTCATGGCAACCTCTTGTGTTGCAGAGTAGAACTGCTCTCCATAGTGTTCTCAAGGCTGTGACCTTTTGGAAGAGATGCCCAAGCCTGTCTTCCCAAGTGGTTCTGGGTGGGTTCGAATGGCCCACCTTTCTGTTAGTAGTGGAACACTTAAACTTTTTTGCTATCCAGGGACTCCCGACCTATGCACAGAACTGGGTGTTAGTCATGGCTGTGCCCACATACAGTCCCTACTTCCTGAAGCCAGAAGCCAGCTGGCAGGTAGCAGGGGTTGAACAAATGGTTTCTGAGTCTGTGCCTCTGTGTGGCCCGTTTTGCTGTTTTATTGCTGTGATAATGCTACTTCCTCCTTGATAGCAGAGATCACTGTCCAGAGGGCAGGGCAGAGTCTGCTGGGCTACTTTCTGCAAGCATTCACTTTCAGATGGTGGAAAAGCCAGAGGGAACAGGGTGATTATTCTCGCTGGAAGCGCTCTGTGGGGGCCCAAAGCCTGGGTATCTGCAGATATCTCTTTAACTGAGGCTGATCCTACTTCCTTGGTGGTACTGGGAACCACCTGGCTCTCAGAGATGGGGGACCCTTGTCCCACAGTGTCTGACCCAGAAGCAAGGACTGGGGCTCCCAGAGCAGCTAACTGCAGGTACCAACTCTGAGGGCAGATTTGGGGTCTGCCAGGGTCCCTGCAGCCCTGAACCTCCTGGAGCTGCTGAGTTTAGAGACACTCCAGGAGGTCACAGACTTTCAAAGCTGGAACCAGGAGAAGCAGGTGAGTTGGCTGTGTAGACACCTGTGGACCACGAGGAGGAGCCAGGGAGCAGCCGGCTGTGAGGAGGGGGCTGAGAATGTGTGTGTGTTTGGGACTGGACCACAGTCTGCTCTAAGAAGACTGAGGACGACCCCAGTGAGGCTTGCACCTTTAGTCATTTATTTTAAAGATGTTTATGTAGCACTTACTAGGACCAGGCCCTATTCTCATCACCTGTAGTAACTTTACAAATATTAATTTATTTAATCCTCTTTACAACCCCTAAGAGTATCAAGGGAGTTATTGTTAATGTCCTCATTTTGCAGATGAGGAAACCAAGACAGATAAGGTCAGTAACTTGCCTAAGGTGGTCACACAGTGAGTGACTGATCCCAGAGGAGAGCCTAGCATTTGAGTCTGTGCTTTCCTGACCATATGCTGCCTCCTCTCACCTCACGTGCAGCAGGTGGTTTGGGGTCTTTTCTTGACAAGGGCTCATTTTTTTCTTCTTTCCTGCTTAGCCTCCAGCTGGGTTCTTTTAGCTGTTAGCCAGAAGTCTCACCTCAAATACAGAGTGGGCGAGGATTAACTGTCCCTGGGGAATTGAGGTATAGGGAGGGGTTGAAATGCAGGTGAAGCAAAGAAACACACTTAACAGGGCAGGGTGTCTGTGATGGGAGCTGCTGTCTCTCTGAGGATGCTGTCTGTCTCTGATGCCTCTCAGGTGACTCCCTGTTCACAGGCAAGGAGGACAGAGCAAGGAGTAGCAGAAGATGGCATGTCCACTGTGTCCGGGGCCTGCATCAGGGTCCTCTGACCTGGGGTGAGGGAGGGGATGTGAGAGTCCTGGAGATGGAGGGAAGTTCTCCCTGAGGGGCACAGGTGCTGAGGAAGGCAGGCCTGATGTCTGAGTAGTGGGGCTGCGGTGTGCATGTTAGTGGGTTTGGAAGGGAAGGAGTGGTTTGTTCCCAGATCAACTTAACGGTTGTCTGACACCACAGAGTCTCCTCAGAGTGGCTGGCAGGAGCCTGGCTCAGTCTTTTCTTGGTGTCAGTGTTGGTGGGGCCTACCATCCAGTTAACATGATGAGCGAGTAGGGAGTGCTCTGCTCCTCTCAGAGGCCGAAATGTGGGTGGGCTGCCACCTATCTGGGGTACCTGACTCCTGCCCTGTTTCTTTCCAGTTCTGAAGAAATGGAGGGGGTCTTCAGCAGATCTTTGCTCTGCCATCTCACTTCCCTCTTGCTGCTCCTCCAGCTGCCCATGAAGGGGTCTACAGGTGAGTGCTCCATATCCCTCTGTCTGCGTCTCCCTGTGGTGTGTGGGAACCATAGGTGAGCTGCTGGTTCTGTCCATCAGGAGAGATGGAGATAGTGGAGACTCCCCCACCCTGCGAGATTATGGTGCCCTCACTAATTGTAGTTAAAAATTAAAAAAAAAAATCACTAAACCATAAATAAGTATAAAAAATTCTGACAATTGCCCTACCACGACCTCTTTAATGTTTAGAAGAGCCAAATAGATGATATTGGGAAATAACTTCCCCACATTTCCTTGCTTTACTAACGTCCTAAGCAAACATGCACGCATGCATTAATTCGCTTTATTCCCCCAATGCTCATGGGGGGGGTCTCCTATGGCTTAGGTGTTGCTCGATGAACAGAACAGACAGAGACTCTCTGTCTTCACAGAGCTTACATTCTCACAGGAGGCAGTGAATATTAAATGTAATAAACCAAGAAAAACTATAGTGTGTTAGAGGAGATTAGTGCTATGGAACAATGAAGTAGAGCAGGTACCAGCAGTGTTGATGGTGGTGGTGGGGGAGGGGACAAGAGGTGTGGCATGGGCAGGCAGCAGTGTTCATTAGGGTGGTCAAGAAAGAGAGATGTGGACTAAGACTTGGGAGAGGAGGGGATTGAGCATGAGGATCACTGGGGATAGAGGGTTCTTGCAGGAAGTGTGAGCCAGTGCTCAGCTGGCAGAGTGCCTGGTGGTTCAGAGAACAACAAGAGGTGAGTGTTGGTTGCAGCAGAGGGAGTGACGGGGAGGGAAGCAGG